ATTACATTTTGCCGGGAACTAAAGTTCCCTTTCGTCCGATAAAGGTTAAGCTATATAGCATGTTTCTTTTATGGTGATTTTGCAGATTCCCTTCATAGTGTTCCAGTTGCACAAATGGGCAACTATCAGGAATATCTAAAGACATTGCCTTCTCCACTTCGAGAGATTGATCCAGATCAACCCAAAAGACTGCATACTTTTGGCAATCCATTTAAACAAGATAAGAAGGTAAGATAACTATTTCTATGTCTGCCTAAATTGTGCTTTTCTTGCTATAATTCATTTCTTCTGGGCAAGGTGAATATAAATCAGAAATTCTCCTGTTAATTTAAAAGATAAAATATGACACCAGGGTTCTTTGTGAATGGAAAGTGGGAGCCTCCTGATGCAAGATTGTTTTGGTTGAAGAAAATAATAGATGGCATTTATTGAGTACCTAGTAGGGGCTGATGTTTGAAATGATCACATTTAATGTTTACAACCATTCTGCAGATGAATATTACTGTCTGTCCTTTAATAAGAAGTCAAAGTTTATGGTGGTAAAATGGTTTACCCTAAGTGAAACAGCTGATAAGAGCCAGGATTTAAAGCCATATCTTTCCAGCTGCAGAGTCTGTATTCATTCCCATTTCCACATACTAATTCATTTAATATTGAGATCACCATTTATTTCCTCTGTTTTCATTATTCAGATGTCTAGTGCTCTATCTAGATAGTGGCAAAGTACTCCTCTTGAAATATGAAGCACAAGGTGATGTTGCTTTATTTGGATTNCTGTATTCATTCCCATTTCCACATACTAATTCATTTAATATTGAGATCACCATTTATTTCCTCTGTTTTCATTATTCAGATGTCTAGTGCTCTATCTAGATAGTGGCAAAGTACTCCTCTTGAAATATGAAGCACAAGGTGATGTTGCTTTATTTGGATTATCCTACTAGAAATCTCAATATGAGGGGTGTGTGTGTGTGTGTGTGTGTGTGTGTGTGTGTGTGTGTGTGTAAGAGAGAGAGATTGACTTGACCATTTAAGCATGAAGACAAAGGAGATTATATCTGCACTCACGGAGGAGACCATTAAGGTGCAGAACATGCAATAATCTCTTCTGTAACAAAACTGGACTGAAAGGTATTCCACTTGATCCCAATCCTCAATTAATTGGTAGTTTTTCTGAATCTTTCTGTGTCTTGGTTTCCTCATCTGCAGCACTAGGAATAATTATCACACCTAACTCACAGAGCTCTGTGGAGGACTGAGTTAGTACATCTGTACCATTTAGAACATTACCTGACATGTAGTAAATGCTCACAAATATGTTTTCCCCTTTCTGTACTGTTTTGCTTTGGAAAATGCTTTGGAAAGGTCATTTATCGTGATATTATTCAGATGATGGGAGCATATATTCTTTGGCTGTCCTTGGATGAGAACAGCTTTTAGCTAACCTTCTATACTGCTACCTTTTATCTTTTATCCATCCCCAAGAGTAAAAAGCCCTTCATCTCTGTCCAGCACCAAAGTGGACATATTTTAATCTCTGAGGTTGCTGTTAGGGGAATTACAGTTTTTGTCTGCCTGCCCTTCACCATCTGCATGCAGCATTCTGTACGGTGACAATCAGTATTTCTTAATGATGAGTGTGAGGCACAAGAGCACACAAAAAGGGATCATCTCCCTTAGCAAGGGTTGATTCTAAATGGTTTGTACTTCTTCGTAAAGTCACTGTGTGTTTATTCCCATTTTGGTTGCTGAGAGTTGCTCATTCTTCAAGCTTTCTGGTTAATCATGATTGTATTTTGCTTGATCTTGGGCAACACCTTATATTTTCCTTCCTTCCTTGTTTTACTTAGATCAGATTAAAATTGAGTAGCATTTTATGAGAACAAAGTCTGTGTGGGGGGTGATGAATATTTGGCCCATGATTAAGACCTATAATGATGATGTAATACATGATTGTATATGCATATGAAGAGTGCTTCCACTGTTGTCTTTAATGGAATGTAATCATTGATGTTTTTTAGGGAATGATGATTGATGAAGCAGATGAGTTTGTAACAGGGCCACAAAACAAAGTGAAACGTCCTGGAGAACCCAGCAACCCTCTGTCATCTAAGAGAAGGCGGAGTATGTCCCCGCTGTCAAGGAAACCACAAACACCACCTACTGTAACTAACCATGTGGGCGGAAAGGGACCATCCTCAGCCTTGTGGTTCCCATCTTATCCAAACCTCATAAAACCCACTCTTGTACATACAGGTATAGAGTAGTGGTTGTGATTTCCTTATGGCTCCTAGAGGACTAAGACACTAAACAATTTTATTTTTCTTTGTATTTCTTTTGTATTCAGTTTCATTCATTAAGTAAATCAATAAGAAATCATCAGTGTGGTAGGTACAGGGGGCCCAGGGGAAGCAGAGACCCTGTTTCAAGGATCTCAATTTCTATGAGGAGGAAGAGATCCATATGTACATAGTAATTAACAAAAAATGGAGAAATGGAGAGCTATATGCGTTTGTCTTGCCAGGGCAAGGCATAATGAGGTGGAAATATTTGGCGTTGCTGCTCAAGGCAGAGTGATAAAGCAGGTTCCCAAGGCACCAGGAGCAAATGGGTTCAATAAGATGGACCTGCACTTGCTCTCGGTGTCCTCATCTCCTCTTTATGCTTCAATGCAGTGTAGTCTGGCTCTTCCTCCTCCACTCCACTGAAACAGGTCTCATCAAGGACCCCAGTGTCTCTGCACATTGCCATTATTTCTAAGCGTCATTTGACACAGTTGTTCACTCCCTCCTCCATGAAAACTTCCTTGGGTTCCCAGACACCACCAACTCCTGGGTTTTGCTTCATTTCATAATGACTGTTTTTCATCCTCTTCTCTGGATAGTGTAGGGACTCAATGCTCAATTCTGGACCCTCTCCTCTTCACTGCACTTTCTTCTAGGTGATCCCATGCAGTCTTGGGGCTTTAAATAAGATTTACATTTCAACAACTCAGATATTTATACCTCTAAACTACAACTCGCTCCCAACTCGAGTCAAATTTAACTGTGGACACAGTATCTCTACTTAGGTGACTAATAGACATATAAAACCCAGTAGGTTTTGCTTGTTTCAACTGAACTCCTGACCTCTGCTTTCTCTGGAACAGCTCTACTTGCAGCCTTCCCCAGTGCAGTTAAGGGCACCATCCAGCAGTGTGTTGGTAAAGCTGTGACAGCCAGCTTTCCATGGGTGCAGCAGTTGGGAGGGTGGAGAAGCCCTGGATCACAGTGTTTGCAGATTTCCACAGTGTAACTAATGGCAACATTGTCAATGTCATGCTATCAATATGAGGTCACTGAGCTAGGTCAGGAAGAGGCACACACAATCCACTGTCATGAGCAGTTGTGCACCGGCACCTGCACACTCTGCCACTATTTACCCAGCGGTTCAGGTGAAAAACCATAGAATCACCGTGATCTCTCTCTTACTCTTCTCTCACTTCCATCCATGAGCAACTCTAGGCAACTTGATGACCCATATAATTACTGCATCCCACATTTCTCTGTCCCTTGGTCGGTGATGCCACCATCTGTCTGTCACCAAGCTACAACAATAGCTTCTTATTTGATTACCATGCCACCCATCTTCTATTTCTGCCCTTCAGCCAGAGTGATCATGTCAACATGGAAATCAGATCATGCCATGTCCATCCTGAAAACTCATTATCAACTTCCTTATGCACTCACAACAGAATTTGAACTCTGAACTCTAGTCTACAAGATCTTTAGAACTTGGCCCTGCTGTCCTTTTTTTAAAAAAATTGAATTTATTAGGGTGACATAGATTAAAAAAATTATATAGGTTTCAGGTGTAAATTCTATAATACATCATCTGTGTATTGTATTGTGTGTTCACCACCCCAAGTCAAGTCTCCTTTCATCACCATTTATCCCCCCCCTTTACCCTCTTCCTGCCATCTTCTCTTAACACATGTCCTATCTGTCTCTTTGCTCTCTCTGCCTCTGTCCTTTACTCTATGGTCCTCGCTCGAAACCCTCTAGGGGCCCTGCACTGGCCTCACCAAGCCTGGAGCTTCCTGTCTGTACACAGGGCTAACTCTTTGTCCTCCTCCAGGCTCTGCACAAAGGACACGTCCTCAGAAGGCCTTGCCCGACCACCCTATCCATTGAGAATCCCCCTTCTGCTCTGTGTCACATCCCTGCTTATTTCTCCCTAACACAAATTCAAACTGTTGTTATTTCATTTGCTCATTGTGCCCTTACTGTCTGACTTCCCCATCAGAATGTAAGTCCCAGAAGGGTACAGATTGTTTCTGTCTGTCTTTTTTCTGCCCCATCTCCTGGCATGGGGCCTGGCACATAGAAGGATGAGAAAAGGAAATATGGATGTCAGCCTTGGAAATAAATTCACTTTTTTTTGAGACAGAAAACAGACAAGGAGGATCATTTTTAAAGAATATGTTTTTATTTATTTCAGAGAGAGGAAGGGAGAAGGAGAGAGAGATAGAAACATCAATAATGAGAGAGGGTTATTGATCAGCTGCCTCCTGCATGCCCCCAACTGGGGATCGAGTCTGCAGCTCTGGCATGTGCCCTGACTGGGAATCCAACCGTAACCTCCTGGTTCATAGGTCGATGCTCAACTACTGAGCCATGCCAGCCAGGCAAGCATGACATTTTATAGGTAAATTTTAGAAATCATGACATCAAGGGAGACTTGCTGCTTTTCAGCTTGTAAAGCATAAGCTGCCACTAAACCACAAGTGCCAGAGATCTGAGGATGCTTATTAATTGTACTGTCTTACTTAGTTTCCACGTGAATTCATAGTGCCATGAAGAAAAGAAAGCAGTTGAGTTGTATTATCTTCCTGACCTCAATTTGAGGGGTCTCAAACTCCATCTGGTAACATCTTCTTGCTTTATGAAACAACTAATTTCCTCAGGACTGAGGAACACTGATATTTGCCTGTGGAGCTAGTATAACACACTGACCTTACAGCTCAGCTGCTTAATTTGGTTTCCAGATGCTACTGTGATTCACGATGTCCATGAGGAGAAGATGGAAAATGGCCAAATCCCACCTGATGGCTTCTTGTCAAAATCTGCTGCACCAGAGCTTATGAATATGACAGGAGATGGTGTTCCACCCAACCAGTTGGATTCTCTGTCTGATGACTTTACTAGTCTAAGGAAAGATGGCCTGATTAACAAACCTGGAAGTAATGCACTTGTTGAAGGAACCAAAAACTGCAGTGTCCCTGCAGATGATCGAAATGTCTCAGTAATCTCTTTTGGAACTGTGTCAAATACATTGCAAATAACGCCTGCTATGGCACAAGGAATAAATGCTGATATAAAACATCAGTTAATGAAGGAAGTTCGAAAATTTGGACGAAGTAAGTAGTGAAAGAACATGTATGAATCACATAATGGAAGGTCCTTCTCATTGTATAATTCAGAGTAGATTCAAGCTCTCCCTTGAAGTGAGTTTTGGGGAAGCATTGGGCTTTCACATAATTTAAAGTGACTCTCTTTAACTAAAAAGATCCAATATACCTTTCTCTCTTTTTCCCCCTTTCTTATCCTAATAGTTTCCTTTTGCTGCTATAATGTGTTACCACAAACTTTGTGGCTTGAAATGATATTATCTTAGAGTTATGGAAGTTGGAATTCTGAGATGATTTCCACTGGGCTGACATGGAGGTGTTGGAAGGCCAGCATTCCTTCTGGAGGGTTTGGGGAGAATCTTGTTTCCTTGCCTTTTCTAACTTCTACAGGCTGCCTGTGTTCCTTACACCATGGCCCCTTCCTCCACTTTCAAACCAGCAGTGGTAGCACTTTCTCTCATCTCTAACTTCTGCCCCCATCCTTATATCTTTCCTCTCTGATTCTAACTCGACTGCCTTCCTTTTAGAAGGATATGTGATTATTTGTGCCTATGTGCACAAACCTGGGTAATCTCCTCATCTCAAGATCCATAACCTAATTACATCTGCAAAATAAAGTCCATTTTACCATATAAGGTAACGTATTCACAGGTTTGGGGATTAGGACATGGACAGTGTTGGGGACCATTGTTCAGCCTACCACATCTGAGTGTTTACAGGCATTTCCTTATCAGATATGCACAGATGTTTTGATTGGAGTGTTTAAAATAAAAACTATATCTAACTTTCCACCCATAAAGAATAATTACTTGAGGATGTGTAAAGATTGAATTGTATTTCCCTTTCATATTTTTTACAATACTGAAGTAGTTTTAATATCTTCAGAGTATGAAAGAATTTTCATTTTGCTCGAAGGAGTGCAAGGACCTCTTGCGGTCAAGAAACAATTTGTTGAATTCACCATCAAGGAAGCTGCAAGGTGGGTGTGAAGAGGAGCTTGTTTTTTTTAAGCACTGGGGCCCAATGCAGGGCAGGGGGAGAAATAGGCTCTGCTCAAACCTGGTCCTCACTTGTAGTTGAAGCTGTCTCCAGAGGCATTTAGATATCATCTGAGTCCAACTCATTCATCCAACTCTTTGGAGCCTTGAAGGCTCACCACAGTTTGAGGTGGGCTTACGCCCTCAAGTGGCACTGTTAGTATTGCTAAACCCTATCTTTATATGTGTACACATTTCTCTTCTATGTCTATTTTCAGTTCCAATTGTACCCCACATAGTGCATTTCATATCATAGTACTTTAAGGTTAATAACATTTCTCTTTATTTTTAGGTTTAAAAGACGAGTCTTAATCCAGTACCTTGAGAAGGTACTAGAAAAAATAGATTCCTACCACCTTCTCAACAGCGTTAATCACATCAACAGCAGATCATCATGTTAATGCAAAGACCAAGGAGAAAAAAAAGGACAAGTTTTCTGTGCTTCAGGATGGAACAGGATACTGTTGAAGCTTCCTAGAATGTTGTAGCCAAGGGAATTGCTTTCCAGAAGCTAAGCAAAAGCAGTGGAAATTTTTTATGTTATGATTCCCTGGCTGTAAAACCTGGCTTTTGCCCTAAGAATTTTCTCTGAAAGTATCAATTTGTTTTCTTTTTTCTTTTGCCAATTGAGGAAGGTTATGCTATTAATGCAGCAGGTTAAATTCAGTAAACCCTGTTGCCCCTGCCACAAGTGATAAGGGTTCAGTCATCTGGGCAATTCCAGAGTGACTAGGGCCCACCTGCAAGTGGAGTACTACTTGGTGCTCTTACTATGTCCTTTAGAAAGAATAGATGTTCAGAATCCAACTGGTAATCTTGTGTGTGCTGAACAATGTTTTCAACAATTTCCAGCTGTGCCTTTTAAACCATGACATATTCAGGACAGTTTGAATCAAAGAGTAAGAAAGCTGCTATTCAGGTAACTTATTTCTCTGTAGGAGGGGGACAGGGAGAGTCACCAAACAATCTACCTCCAACTCTCTTCTATTTTGTCTAGAGACATTATGAAGTGCACCTGAGGCTGCTCCAACCCCTGACATTTGTTCTTGCATGTGATGACAGAAAGCCTTCAGGTGGACTTGTACATTTTGTGCTTTGAAAGCACTAAAGGAAAAAATGATGTATATATTTCCTTTAATGTTTATACAAAGGTTTATATGGAGCAGTATTGTTATGTTTGTATTAATTTGCAAAAATTATGCCTACAAAGAGATTTTGACTTTGAATATATGAAATAAATCATTTTATTGATTTTCACAAGTTTATTAATGCTAGAGAAATTTCTAGTTTTGTCTTTCTTGTGATTTGTTACTCCTTTCAGAAAAAAGTGCACACGATTCAATTAAGGTGTTAACATAAGAATTCAGACTTCAAAATATCACTCACAGAACTGAATGATGTTGGTGAAGATGGTGGAGTAGGGGACTCTGGAGGTCAATCACTCTCCAGAAACACTAAAAACACTGGGTGGGAGGAACTGTCAGCATCAAGTTTACTGGACCTCTGAAAGATAGTCAAAAGTTCATAGCAACCAAGCGAATCCTGAATCAGGAGAAAAGCCAGTGAAACATGATAGAGTTTTGTGGCATTTTAAGGTATTCTTGTCCTTTCCACTCCCTGGCATAGAAGTGGAAGATGGCAGCCTGTACTCCAAGTGTGGGTTCCTGGTTCTGGAGGGAGGAGGGCAGACCTTATTCCCAAGGAATTATGTTTGTTTGAACCTGTCTGGGAGGCTCCCTGAAGGTCTGACACACGGGGATTGATTGCTTTTGTTTCACCTAACTCCTAACTCTCTTAGGGTGGAAAGTCAACTATATGGAGAATGGTCCTCAAAAATATTGAAAGGAGAGTGAACAAGCTGCCTCTATGTATAAAAAACAGTAGACATGACAAAATCCTGGGAGGAAAACCTGGGGAGTGAGATACTTTGGAGAATAAGGGCTTTGAAATACTCCCATGTATACCTGGGTCTCTAGAAAACCATGTGCGTGTCCCTGGGCAAGACTCAGTGTCAGAATAGACCTGAGAAGACCATAAGATTTCACCTCTGCCTCATCTTTAGGCTTAGCACAGTGATGGATAGAACAACTAGTCAGAAGACCAATAAGGAAATAGCAGACTTGAACAACACTATAAACCAATTACATCTAATAGACACGTACAGAACACCTCACCCAACAACAGCAAAGAACATTCTTCTCAAGTGCTCACAGAGTATTCTCAAGAATTGACCATATATTAAGCCACAAAATAAGTCTTAATAAATTTTCAAAGTTTGAAACCATGGAAAGTCGCTTCTTCACTGTAGTGGAGTCAAACTAGAAATCAATAATAGAAGTTGGACCCTCACCTCATACCATATACAAAAATTAACTGTCAGAATCAAGCTTATTGGACCTCTGGAAGATAGTAAAAAATTCATGAAAATGAACCAATACCTAAATATATATGAGCTAAAATCATAAAAATCTTAGAAGGAAATTTTGGAGTAAACATTCATCACCTTGGATTTGGCAATAGTTGTGTGTGTTTTTTGAGATTTGATTTGATTTTTTCAGAGAGTGGAAGGAAGAGAAAGAGACAGAGAAACATCGATGTGAGAGAGACACATCAAGTGGCTGCCTCCCACTTGAGCCCCTACCAGGGCCAAGCCTGCAACTGAGGTACACACCCCTGGCCGGAATCGAACCCGGGACCTCTTGGTTCGTCGGCCAATGCTCCAGCCACTGAGCCAAACTGGCCAGGGCGGCTATAGTGGGTTTTTTTGTTTTGTTTTTTAAATATATCTTTATTGATTTCAGACAGAGGAAAGGAGAGGGAGAGAGAGAGAGATAGAAACATCAATGATGAGAGAGTCATTGATCGAGCCCACAACCCGGGCATGTGCCTTGACCGGGAATCGAACCCCGATCACCTGGATCCTAGGTCGACGCTCAACAGCTGAGCCATGCCCAGCTAGGCAATAGTTTTTAAAATATGACATAAAATCACAAGCAACAAAAGAAAAATATAATTTGACTTCAAAATGAAAAGTTTTTGTACATCAAAGAATGTTATCAGAGAATGAAAAAACAACCCATAGGATGGGAGAATATTTGCAAAGCATACATCTGACAAGACTCTAGTATCCATAATAAAGAAAGAATTTGAAAAGACTTATAGCGAAAGAACATATACAAATGGCATACAAGCACACGAAAATATGCTCAACATCATTAGTCATTAGGGACATGCAACTCAAAACCACAATAAGATAGCACTTCACACCTACTAGGATGGTAATAATCAAAAGAAAAAGAACCAGTGTTGAAGATGTAGAGAAATTGGGGCCCTCATACATTGCTGGTAATGAAGTACTAATATGTGCTACAACATGAATGAACATCAAAAGCATTATGCTAAGTCAAAGAAGCCAGACAAAACAGGGCACATATTGTAAGATTCCATTTATATGAAATATCAAGAATTGGCAAATCCAGAGAGACAGAAAGTAGCTAATAACTGTTTGCAAGGGGCTGGGGAGAGGGGGAAATGGGGAATGGCTGCTAATGGAGTTTCCTTTTAAGATAGTGAAAAAGTTCCAGAACCAAATAGTTTTGTGGTGATTACACAACATTATGAATGTACTTTAGTTATTGAATCGTACATTTTTGAAAGCTAAATTTCATGTGTTATTTACAACAACAAAATGCTCCAGAGCAGTCTAGCTGCCACCTGAAGCCACTTTATGCCATATGGAGCAGAATGATTGCCCATCTCAGCCTTGCTCAAATTCTTGACATACAAAATTATGAGATATAATAATGTTTAAAAAACAAACAAACACTGACTTTGGTTTCCAGAGCCGCATGTAAGGAGCTTGGAAGTCTCCACTCCATCTCAACAAGTAAAAAGCTGAGCAGGCTGAAAAATCAACTCTTGTTAGATCCATAAGAGAGGATACAGGGTAAACCATTGCCCCCAATAATGCAGAGACAGACAAATAACAGGGAGTTATAGCTTACTGGAGCAGAGACTCATGACCGGAGACCACCATGAGAACCAGTGCTGGGGTAGGAAAACCTGAGCTATAATTGGCAAATTGCTTGATGTTCAGTGTGGACAAGTCTGATAGAAAAGCTCCACCTTTAGTTGTCAAGATGTCAGTTCTTCCCAACTTGATCTATCAATTCAATGCAATCTAAATCAAAATCCCAGCCAGATATCTTGTGGGTATCAATAAACTGATTCTAAAGTTTATACAGAGAAGCAAAAGATCCAGAATAGCCAACAATATTGAAGGAAAGAACAAAGTTGGAGGACTGACACTACCCAACTTCAAGACTTCCTATAAAACCACAGTAATCAAGACATGTGGTATTGGCCAAAGAATAGACAAATAGAAAAATGGAACAGATTAGAGAACTCAGAAATAGACCCACATAAAATAGTCAACTGATCTTTGACAAATGGTGCTGGAACATCCACATGTAAAAAAACAAACGACAACAACAAATGTAGACACAGACCTTACACCCTTCACAAAAATTAGACCTAGATGTAAAATGCAAAGGTATAGAACTTCTAGAAGACAAGATAGGAGAAAACCTAGATGATCTCGGGTATGGTGACAACTTTTTAGATATGACACCATAGGCACAATACAAAATCCATGAAAGAAAAATTGACATGCTGGACCTCATTAAAATTAAAAACATCTGCTCTGCGAAAGACAATGTCAAGAGAATGGGAAGTCAAACCAGAGACTAGGGAAAATATCTGCACAGGACATATGTCATAAAGGATTATTCTTCAAAATAGTCGAAGAACTCTTAAAACTCAACAATAAGAAAGCAAATAACTTGATTAAAAAGTAGGCCAAAGATAACAGACATCTCACCAAAGATGACGCACAGATAGCAAATAAATATGAAAAAATGTTCCACATTATGTCATCAAGGCTAATTAAAACAACAGTGAAATACCACTACACTCCTAATAGAATGGGACAAATCCAGAACACTGATAACATCAAATGCCTGTGAGGATATAGAGCAATAGTAACTCTCATTCATTGCTTGTGTGAAAATCCAACAAGAAATCAAGGACTTCAGTCCCACATGGCAAGAAACTGAATTCTGCCAATAATCTGAACGGATTTGGAAGCACATTCCATCCTACATCTTCCAGATGAGAACACAGCTTGGCTAAAATCTTCATTTTGGCCTTTTAAGACTGAAGCAGGGAACCAACTGAAGACTGTTCAGACTTCTGCACTACAGAACTGTGAAGTAAGAAATGGGTGTTGTTTTAAGCCACTAAGTTTAGGGTAATTTTTTAAGCCACTGAATTTGGGTAATGTACAAAAAATAAAAAATGAATACACTCTCTGAATCTGCACCCATATTCTCACATGGATTTCACTAAAACCAGTTGGCTACAGAAGCAACATGTGAGGCCTTTCTTTAGGTATTTTTTTACAGTATACAGATACTGCCTATGTTAGTTTTCTTCTAGGACAAAAAGAGAAGCAGTATAAATAATTTACAGTCTGATTCATTGGACTTATACTTAATTTAAAATGTAGTATATATGGCCCGGCCGGGCATGGCTCAGCGGTTGGGTGTCGACCTAGGATCCAGGCAATCAGAGTTCGATTCCCAGTCGGGGCACATGCCTGGGTTGCGGGCTGCAGCCGATCAATGACTCTCTCATCATTGATGTTTCTATCTCTCTCTCTCCCTCTCCTTTCCTCTCTCTGAAATCAATAAAGATATATATATTTTAAAAAAGTAGTATATATGAAGAAGCACTTCTGGATTGGTGGAGCAAGGGCCTGTGAAAATCCACTCTGGCATGAAAGCAATGAGAACACTGGCAAATGTCACAATAAATGTTTCAGAACTCTGGAAATTAACAAAAAGTTTGCAACAACATGAAGAGTGTTTAATAAAGAAAAAATGGCTATATAACAATACAAACAGTGAGGGCTGGGATGCTGTAACTTGCACTATTCCTACCCTCTTCTCTGCTCCGTTGTAGCCTTGAAACCAATGACCTCAATTCTAGAGTAGCTCTGAACCCCAGCAGCCTATCAGCCACTGGAGGGGACAAAACTGATTGGAGTTTCCCAGCATCTCTATTCCCAGAAAACTGTCACTAGTTGATGTGCCTGGTGACTCCCTGGCACTATTCTTGGGATTTGTCCATAATTCAACAGTCTGAGAGCTCACTCTGGATGGACAGCCCTATGCACTACCTGAAGGTACAAGGTAGGAATTCCTGTAATGCAATG